CCACTGAGCCAAACCGGTTTTGGCGGTATTTTTTTTTTTTTTTTTAATGGGATTAAAGTTTAAATCTATAGATTTTGAATAAAGCAGATTATCTACCAAAGGGTAGGTGGGCCACATCCAATCAGTTGAAGGTCTAAAGAAACCCCCTCCGCCCATGGGAAGAGGGAATTCTGTCTCCAAACAGCCGTTGGCCTTAAGCTGCAACATCAACTCTTCCCCAGGTCTCCAGTCTGCCTATCTACCCTGTAGATTTTCGTATTTTAATCATGAGCCAATTCTTTAAAATAACTCTCTGTTTCTGTCTGTGTCTCTCTATTTCCCTTTCTCTTTCTAGACACACACACACTATGCTGGTTGTGTTTCTCTGGAGAATCTAGACTTATACTGGGGTTAAGGGTAGGGAAGTCATGGTCCCACCCTTAAGAACTTTGTTGACTAAATATTAAGGAGAAAACTCAAAATATGCATTAACATTCTGTGAGCCCTGCATGTTTTGGAAGCCCATCTCCTGCTGGAGCGATGCAAGGTACAGCCAGGGCAGGCTCCTGGCACAGTGAGCTCTCAGCCCAGCTTTAAGGAATAGGAATTGCCAGGTGAGTGTGAGGCGGAGGCATGGAGGAGCGATTTGAACAGAGGAAAGCCATAAGCAGGGGCCAGATGGCCAGATGCTGTATATGCTGCACCGAGGAATCTCGTTTTTAATCCTCAGGCAATGCTCTCCATTCTTGCTCAGAGATGTTATATAGGGTTTCAAGAATCCCAGGAAAAACTTTGTAGAAAAAATTTTAAAAAACACAAAAATATTTTTTTCATTTGGGCGTGACTACTGCACTTGTTGGTTCTATCTGTTTTCCTTATGACTCACAGAAAACTTGGAAGTATTCATATGAGGTACCAGTTGCACCTCACTGGTTGACTAGCTATAATACAGCCATCTCAGCCTTTTCTTTAAAGTGCATTACTCATGCGGAATCTGTAAAGAACCATTTGCAGTGCTAATGTGAGACTTGTTTTCCAGTGCCACCTGGTGTTTCGTTAGGGCACTGATTATTACTTTTTAAAGAATGCAAATACTAACCAGGAAATCTTTAAATGCCTTCTTAAAGACATTCACAAGTACATTGTTTCAGCATATCCCTTTTTGTAATAAATAATATCTAATATTAAATATTAGTCTAAATAAAAGGAAAATTATTTCTGGTAAAGTCCCTGATCCAAATGCAATTTTAACACACACACACACACACACACACACAAGCCAGAACACATTTCCCATTTTCAGGCAGAGTATTCTGTTGCTCCTCAAATTTCTTTAAAAAATTTTTTTTTAAATTGATTTCAGAGAGAGAAGAGGAGAGGAATGGATAGGAACATCAAAGATGAGAAAGAATCATGAACCAGCTGCCTCCTGCACAACCCTCACTGGGAATTGAGCCTGCAATCTGGGCATGTGCCCTGACCGGGAATCGAACCCTAACCTCCTGATTCATGGGTCAATGCTCAACCACTAAATCTACTACCGGCTGGGATTTCAAATTTATTTAAAGGCTCACAAATCCTCAAATACTAACTAACATTTGACATATATGAAATCAGTAACCTATTGCATACGTTTATATTCAATGAGTTTGTTAAAGCACACCTTTGAAGTAGCATAGAGCCATTTTTGAGTCCTCTCTGTCACACCCCATATTCTTATCCATTAGCAGATCCTATTGACTTTAGGTGTGAATACATGCACATCTCATCCCCCCTCTCCACCTCTACCGAACCTGACTGCCCTAATCTCTCCCTGGACCATTGCCACCTCCTTCTACGTGGTCTCCTGCTCCCAATCTTGCATCTCTAGAGCCAGAACCAGCCTTTTAAAACACAAAGCAGAAAGTATGAATCCTCAGCTCAGAATCTCCCAGTGGCTTCCAGTCTCACTCGAGATAATATTTATAAAATCCTTCTCCAAAGGCCTTTGTGACTCAAACCTTGCAACCCCAGTGTCCTCCCCCAATCCCCTCGCCCCTTGCACACTTCCGGCTAATCCTCACACTTGCTAAGTGCTTCTCACCTTAGGGACTAAGGATGTGCTACTCCACCAGGGACCTCTCTCCTCCCAGGTGGCTGCACATCTCACTCCCTTCCATCTTCATGTCACTGTCCAAGAGGCCATCTATAGAGCATCGTCTCTGCCCACTGTCATTCCCTGAACTCTTGTCCTGTTGTATATTTCTTTTCACAGGTATCACTGCCTATTATATTCTAATTTTTATATTTTATCCATTATATTCTAATCACATTTAAACGCGAAACAGACACACACACACACACACACACACACACACACACACACACAAATACAAATACCATGAGAACTGGGGCTATGATTTTATTGACTGTTTTGGCCCTACTGCCTAAACCAAAGCCTGGCACACAGTAGGTACTCAATATTACTGAGCAAATGAGTGGATAAAAATAATTGTTTGATTTAGACATCTAATGAGCTGTGTTCAGATGGCATTACTTTGTAGTTCACACTATGTTTTATGGATGAGAAATATGGAATATGTGGGAAAAGGTGACATCCAGTGGGGAGAAGCTGATATAGCAATTTCATCTACAACAGATAAATAATCTGATTCCATTTAAGAATCTGGCATCTCCAAATGAGGGCCTATTTTGGAAGAGACTCTATCCCAAACCTGAGACTCTATCAAAATAAATTAAATCTAATTCTTTAAAAGAAAGGGGTCACGTATTTATTAATTCTAAGTAAAAACAAAATCTCCCCAATCTTGTCAGTATTTCCTCATCCATATACTTGAGGGAAGATAATACAAGTAGAAAATTAGGCAATCTAATAATTCATGCTGAGACAATTGTATAATTACCATTAAAAATCTCCACTCGGGTGGGGGGAGGAAGAGGGTAAAGGGGGAATAAATAGTGATGGAAGGAGACTTGATTAGGGTGGTGAACATACAATAAATATACATATGATGTATTATATAATTACATACCTGAAATCTATGTAATTCTATGAACCAGTCACCCCACTAAATTCAGTTTTTAAAATCTCCCATTTCTATATTATGAAGTTAAGATAGGACTATTAAAACACATTCACTTTTTAAAATCACTGTGGCTACATTGCTGAGAAGGGCAGGGGGGGGGGGGGGAGGGGCAGGAACACCAGTCTGGTAACTGACAAAGATGTTGGTGGCTGGGACCTGGGTTGATAGTAGGTGAAGGAGGCAGGAAGTAGTTGGATTCCAGATACTCTCTGAAGAGAGCTGAGAGAATTTGCTAGTGGAAGACTGGGAGGCATGAAGGAGAAGATTCATGGGAGGAGTGGGGTGAGGAGTTAGGGGTTCAGTTTTATATGTAAGTTTGAAGTGATGACTAGACATCCAATCAAGGTCATCAGGTAGACACCAGGCAAATGTGGCAATCTTTGACAGCCAGATATTTAAAGCCATGAGATTAGATATTTTCAAGGGAGAGTGTCGACAGAATGTCTCTAAGGACTGAGTCCTAAGGCACCCCGATGTTTGGTACTCAGGGAGAGGAGTGTCCGACAGAACAGGCTGAGCAAAAGCAAATTGTACAGAATCGAAAGAAAGCCAAGAGAATGTGGTACCCAGCAGGCCAAGGGAAGGCAGAGCTGTGGAGTAGGGGAAGTGGTGAGTTCTATGGAAAGCTGCTACTACCCTCCTCCCTGCCTTTTTTTCTCCTCCTAAAAAGAACACATCATGAATATACTGGGGAGCTCAGGCATGCTGAGAGCTTATGGATGATGGCTGAGCTAAATCTCAGTCAGTATACAAAAAAAAAAAAAAAAAAAAAAAAATTAAATCAATCAACAGTTTCCAAGAGTGAGGAGAAAAGTGCAGAAACAAGCTATTTAGACACACACAGGTAAGTACTGGAAGAGACAGCTAAAAGAAAATTGGGAATGGGACTCATGAACATAGAGAGTAGTAGGGTAGAAGACTACTGCTTTTAAATCATAACTTTTGAAACTATATCTCTATGTGACTTTGATAAAAATTAAAAACAACCAGTCAGAAAACACACACACACACACACACACACACACACACACAAACACACACACACACACGAGCTAGATGCTTAGTTCCCAGCCTATGGGCTACAAAATTACGGCCAGAGGCCAGTAACTCCACATGCTAATTAAGTATTATTTACATACACAGTAGGATTGATCTTCTACATTATGTGTCCTGTGTCTTTAATGTAGACACTGCCTTCATCACTACAAATTAAAGACATTCCTGAAACTGTAATAATGTTTAACTACTGAAGATTTACAACCAGCATTCTGTCACACCCATATAATTTCTTAGTTCTTCACTCTCAGTGTAGGACTCTTTACTGGAGTTGAATTAAAGTTATACTGGGTTATGAAGAATGCCTTTGTAATGAACTCCTGGAAGGCAGAGAGGATCCTTTCTATATGGATGTAACCTTGTTTGCATGTCTTTCTTTCCAACCATTTAGAGTTCATTGAGAAAAGATAATGCATTCTAATAATCCTTGGACCTCTATACCTAGCACAGTTGCCAACATAGATGACAGTAAATACTATTTTCTAAGTGTTTTGTCTGGGCTAGACACTGCTTTAAGCACTTTACATGCATTTTCACGTAATTACTATTGTGAAACAGTAGCCTCATGGTGCCTGAAATTGGAGATATGATTCCTCTATCCCAGAAAAGGAAGCTGGGGCACAGGGCTCTGTAATCCTCGAGGACACAGAGTGGACAGCAACACTGAGATTAGAGGGCAGGCAATCTCTCTCCAGAGCCTTAGCTTTAACATTCATTAGAATATTAATAAATGTTCCTTGATAAAATCACCGAAAAAATAAACCTGGTGGCAATTTATTTTAGCTAGTGACATCAACTGAAGTCATCATGTTCTTCCTGGAAGGTGTAACGCCTTTTTTCAGATGTATATTTGAAAGACTGTTTAGTTGATAATCTCACCTTTTGCTTTCTGTTCTGGATCATCTGTTTTTCTATTTGTTTCTGAAAAGTAAAGACAAAACAAAATAAGTACTATGGAAGTCACCACTGAATGTCCCAAAATATAGAACCATATTTAAATGAACTCAAATTGATATTATTTAAGAACTATTTCTAGGCAAACAATTCAGTTTTCCTAAATCCTGAATTCTTTACCCATGAACTTTGTTACATGAAGATTAGGTTCATTTGAGTTACTCACAGAAGTCACCAAGCGGTTAACTAGGTATCTGGTGTCAGGCTACATGGTTCTCCTTGAGAAGAGAGTTGGTGTGGGTCATTCCCATCACCTTTAAGCTCCTCTAGGAGTACAGAGGCAAACTGAGGTAGGGAGAAGCTTGTTAAATATTTTGTCTCCTGGAAACAGAAGACTACTTTATAGTAGGCACCATGTGCTTTAATGGAATCAGTATGTCACCGACTGAGAACTCTAGTCTCATTCCTCTAAGGCAAGCACATCAACCTCACCGCCTGTGGCCCTCATGCCTCGTGTATTTGGCCCGTGTTAGCCTTTGAGTTTGACATGCTTGCTTTAAGGACTTTACACGTAACAGGTGACCCGTTAGGGGCCTGCCCTGAGCCCAGGGGTGCTATAGCTCACCTGCTGAAGAGCTTTGATAGGCCAAAGAGCCCACCCGTGTCAGCCTTTCACTGAGGGAATCCAGTTAGTGTCTCTCAGAAATGGGGATAGCGAGCACAGCGAAGCCCACCGAGCACCTGGACCAGCCAAAGAACACCCATTCCACAGAGAAGACAGTGGCACGTGAACTGACGGTTTAAAAGCAACCTTCTGCATTTATAACCTCCTATCTGCTTACTGTTTATTAGCGGTTAGGATCTAGTGAATTTTCAAGGTAGACTCTGTAAGTAATAATCTAATTTCAGGGTATTTCTAGGAACACATGTGTACAGGTGTAGGAGTGGGGATGGGACAGTTTGGGAGACACAGAAATCACAGACTGAGTCCATTCCCCATAAAGTGAGAGAGTGTGGATGCAGTCTAGGGTGGGAGTAGGGAGGCAGTCACAGATCATTCCATGTTGTGGTTCCCGATTGCATTTCTTGGAGGTGAGAATATGCTGCAGGCTTCTGGTGCAAGGAAGAGATTTTTATTGGTCAAGCAACTTCTCTTTTCAGACCTCAGATGAGAAGAGAACCAACTTTGAAAGCTAGTGTGCCAGGCTCAGTGCTAGGCACATCTCACTCGTCTCTAGTTCCTGACACCCTATGGGGAAAGGTCTTATCTCCCTTTCCGTGCAAAGGAGGGAGCAGCAGCTGAGCAACTCGAGTGCCCAAATTGTCAAGGTCAGTGGTTCCATCACTTCAAAGCACATGATCTTCCCACTGTGCCTGTCTCTACTTTTCTTGAAAAAGAAACCAATACTAGAGAAGCACAAGTATTGGATTTTTGCAAAGAATGGTTTTTTTGAGTTTGAGGGCCATAGACTTTTTGGCCAGTGCTGCAAGAGGGTACACACACACACACACACACACACACACACACACACACAAAGGCTTCTTGATCTCATTAACTATAGCCTCCTTGTCATTAAGTTAGGCAGTGCACCATCTAACAGGAAGCACTGTCATAGGGGTCAGGGATACAGGACTGAATAAAAGTGTCAAAAACCTCATGGCGCTCTCTTCCCAGTGGAATCAGCAACACCTGCAGATCCCTCAGGAGGGAGTTACCTGGTGCCCACCTTACCTGATGCCCACGTGTTTGCTCTAGAATACCTTGAACGGCCTCAGGCCCCCAGGCGTTTCAGCCTGCCTGACCCTGGTCTCCTCTGAGCAGAGATATTATAACACCCATTGGCTGGGAAAACTCAACTCCCTGCACACAAAGCACGTGGCAGAGTGAGGGCATCCAGTACAGGTGAGTCTGCTCACCCTTAGTTTCAAGTTTTATTTTCATTGTGTCTTCTGGGCTCTTTGGAGAGGAAAGAACACTTTCCTGAGCCGCAGAAGCTCAATGCGGGTGAAGTCCATTTCCTCACAGCCAGGTGGTCACTGTGGAACAGGATAGGGCCGTGGTCTGCAAACTCATTAGTCAACAGAGCGAAATGTTAACAGGACAACGACTGAAATTTCTTTTGAGAGTCGAAAACCGACTTCTGCCCATGGGCCACGAAGTTTCAATCACACTGTACGTGCGTGCCCACACGTGGTATTTTGGGGAAGAGCTACATTCAAGGGGCCAAAGAGCTGCATGTGGCTCGTGAGCTGCTGTTTGCCGACCACTGGTATAGGGGGTGGGGATAGGGAAGTTACCAGGGAGTTACCCAAACTCCTAGGACACAACAAAAACTTGCGAAGGATGGATACGGGGGCTAGTTCATTGCATTCCTGCCCCTGGAAATGTAGCATAATGGTAAGTACTAAACAAAATAAATTAACATCGCCTATTAGAAATAGATTAAGAAATGGGGGGAGGGGGGAAGGAAGAGGTACTCCTTTGCGATTGTATTCATCAAAAATGCCATAATATTCTAAAGTACTAGTAAGTATAAAATGAACTGATTTTATTAGGTAACGGTTAAAAATTAATATGCTTCAGAATAATGACAATATAGAGAAGAATCCTTCTGCATTTTATTGCACTCGAATAACATTAAACAGAAGACATTTACATTATTTTTTAGAAAATCCATTGATGTTGCCCAGCTTGGCATGTATTTGTGAAGACGAGGCTCAACTCACTCAGATATTTGGAATTAAAAGTATTTAAAGTGAACCACAGCATAAGGAACCTTCAATTTCCAGAGTTCTAGAGACCGATATATACAAAAATTCAGTAAAATTTATTTTATTCATTTATCTGTTCTGTCACTCCTAAGCACCCCCCCCGAAAAAAAAAAATATGGCTTTATAAAAAGTAGTGTTCTATAATTCACAATATGAATTAAGAGCATTACTAGGATCTGAGTAGCAACTCATTATTACCCATATCACAGCTTTAGAAAATTATTGCTTTTCTCAGTAACTTATTATTTGGGGGTTTCACTACCCACGGAGTCAGCATGCATAACTTACTACATTAGCACTATGACCTCTAACGACAGGAAAAAAAAAAACCAAACACCTCTTTGATTAGAACCCTACAAACAGCAAAAACACCACCTTATCCTAAAACAATGTTGACAAGCGCTGGACAGGTAAGAGAAACCGCTTCTATGGCTTTTTACAGAGCTTGTGGTCCTTTCCAATGAACATGGTCGCCACCTTCTTTGCTCACAGAGGAGTGTTTCATCTCAGCCACTGTTTCTGAGCCACGGATACACCACAGGGAAAGCGGAAGGAACCTCAGGGTGGGAAGGAAGAGGCTCAGAGGCCGTGACACAGCAGCAGGCACCTGGCTCGCTCAGGGAGTGCTCCGGGCCCCTCCGGCAGGAACCCACCAGACGCATGAACGTGGCTTTGCTGAGGACGCGTGCACGGTGCTGCTCTTTAGTGTTGTGAGGGCCTTACTTAATCAGCCAAAGGCAGAGCAATCTTTTAAGTTTCACACCAGGAGTGCATATAGATTTTCTTAAAATGTAAACAGGGGAGAGCTATTATGTGACCAACAGGAGGTGCCAAGAAGCATTGTTGCGTGCTGGATGGTAGGCCATTCCTCTTCCCTATCTCTAATGAGGAATTTATTTCCCCCCTCATTATGAAAAATAAATTAACCATAATCATTTAAAACTTTCACTGAAATATATATATATTTTTTCTTCCTGATGAGCTAAAAGCTATAAAAATCTCACATTTTGAGTTTTGCCCTGAATACTTGAAGCAATGTAGGCTCTTTTTTTTTTTTTTTTTTTTTAAAGGATATCAGTGCAGATATAAACAACTCAAATCTTCACAGCTCCTAATGGCTCCACTCGTGTTTTTAAGGGTGCTGAGGCAAGGTAGCCCTACGGCTCTTAAATCCCACCTAACGCAGTTTGCACGGCAGTCCAACATAGCGTTAACACCTAACAATATATAGCAAAGCCCTGACAACACATTTGCTGCTACATCATTGATATCATTATTACCTGAAAAAACACACATTAATACAGGAAAGACTAAAAGCTGTGTCACCAAAAAAAAGAAGGGAAAGCAATGCAATGGATTCACTAAGGCTATCCAAAAAAAAAGGACATGCAGGAATGTAACATTACATGTAACTTGTTAAAAAAAAAAAAAAAAAAAAAAAAAAAAGAGTGAGAGAGAGAGAGACACTAAAATGCCAATGGACTATGACTCGTTCAAAACATCGTTAGTGTTCACTCGCAAAGATCTTGGTCTGCTCAGAAATTACTTCACAAGATCTATCTCAGCCATCTTTTGGAGCGTATGGTTAGGCTGGTCCTCCTGTGGTAGTGGGGCAGTCTTTTTGAAGCTTTAAGTATCTGCAAAAATAAGGGGAAATCTAAATTAAAGGACCAACTAGACACAGACTGCGAAACTGCTTCATTTTCATTTGACCTTTAAAAACCCGCCAACAGAAGTAGCTGTTTTCTTTGCTTTTGTGTTGCTGTGTTTTGTTTTGTTTTGTTTTTGTTTTTGTCTGTTTTGTTCTGTTTTAAGGGCAGCTTGATGACAGGATGATTACATTTCTTAGGAATCACTAACTACCTAGGGAAGTTCCTGGGATAACTTGCAAAGCTGTTGATGAAAATCGGAGGCTCCTTCGAGCATCGGAGAATTACAACTGAATTTAAACATTTCAATCTTTTAAGAAATACAAGCAATAATTTCTCCCATCAGTGTTCCCACTCTGTTTAAAAAAAAAAAAATTAATAGAAAAAAAATCTAGTATGGTATTTGAAAGACAAATATAGAAAGGGTTTTCAAGGAGCAACTAGCTACTGTAAGTTGGAGTTAGAATAATTACTTTAATAATTTTACACCAATTTTCAATGTAGTTGACAATATAAATGGTCAGTAAAGAAAGTATGCAAAATGTAAAAGGAACTAAAATTCATTCCTAACTTTTTTCAAATACTTTCTCATTTCAAACTTTGGTA